GGTCCTTAGAGAGGTGGATTTTCTTACCACAGAGGTGGCTATCATCCATTTGACTACAACAATTTCTATCCCAGAGGTGGCTATCACCATCACCAAGGGAACTTCAGGGGTGCCTATAGGGGATATTCCCAAGGGCCCTTTAATTGTACAAAATGTCTAACTAGACATGGCCCTAGAAAGTGCCCTGCATGTGGTAAAGAATGGCATAACTGTGGCAAACCAAATCATTATGAAAAAGCTTGTGAATTAGTTCAGGGAAGTGGTGCTAAAAACCCAGAGTAGAGAGTGTACACAAAGTGGTTGAAGTCATCAAAGTAGTGAAATCTCCTTATATTGTGGACAACTTTGACATCAGTCCTCAAGATGAGCCAAATCTTCTGAAGGAGACGAATCCCTCAGTTGACATGGTCACCATGGTTGAAGACACCGACGTCAGAGGGCTCCGGGAGTACACGGAAACTCTGAAATTGCAAGGTAAACACTTTGTTAATTTCAAGCTTGATTGTGGTTCTGAAGCGAATCTCATACCCTTTGATGATTACTGTCATCTTAATGCTCAGAATGAGTTCCCTCTCACTAGTAGTCCTTTACAATTAGAAGCGTTTAATCAAACTTCGTCTTCAGTTGAAGGTGTCTTTGTCTCCCTTACTGAGACACAGCATGGTGCAGCCATGGAAGTAGAGTACACAGTGACTAAAGTATGCAAAAGACCTATTCTAGGTATACAACCATGTTATGCCTTAAATTTGGTCAGACGTGTCGCATTCTGTGGACGCAGCCCAGGTTGGTCTTGGGCCTGCCTCCAAGGAAGAATTTGTTAAAGCAAACAGTGATGTGTTTGAAGGGCTAGGGCAGTTCAAGCAGACCATACGTCTGGAAGTTGATAACAGTATTCCTGCAGGGATGTGCCCGCCCAGGAGATACAGTGTGCCCATTGCTGATAGACTGAAGGTCAAACTAGATTCATTGGTACAGCAAGGAGTAGTTGAAAAAGTCAAAGGCCCAATGCCTAGGTTTATAAGTAATCTAGTAATAAGAGGGAAGAAAAACGGAGACCTGAGGCTATGCCTGGATCCGCAAACGTTGAACAAAGCTCTGATTAAACAGAAATATCCCATCCCAACACTTGATGAGATCTCGTGTAAAGTCAGGGACAAGAGTGTCTTCACAGTGCTCGATCTTAAGGATGGATTTTGGCATGCCTCATCGGATGCTGAGTCCAGTCTTCTGTGTTCTTTCGCTACACCATTCGGTATCTACAAGGTAGGTTTACGCCAGACCGCGTCTTGTCGTAACAGGCTTCGCGATGTCTCGCTGCCTCTTTCTCAAATCCGCGCCTGGCGTACCAACCTTGGCCTGCGGCGCTAGCCTGCCTTCGGCAGGCAATGGCGTCTCCGTCGTCGGTTACTTCTAATTTGTCGATATTTCCTGATTTTTGAAGTATCGCAACACAAAATGTCGTTTACCTCAGATCCTTTTCCATTGCCAGTCC